CGGGGAGCGCCCGGGCCCAGGAGCCCCCTTCTCTCTGCCCCCGCGCACGCCGCCGCGCTCCGCCCCGCCACAGAGTCCCCGCCGGGCGAGAGCGGATCCACATCCGGGTCCCGCCGCGCCCAAGGCCCGAGCGGCGCCGTCTCTGAGGGACGGGATTGGAGGCGGGGAAGGGGCGCCTCGGCCGTCAGGGGGGCTCGGCTTGGGAGAGTCGCGGGATGGGGAAAGAAAGGAGAAGGAAACCGATCTCTAAGCGTCTCCTTACGGCGCTGGGGCAGTGCGCATGCGCACGGCTCCGTGAACCTAACGCAGCCTGAAGAGCTGAAGGGGTGGGTCTCTGGAGCGGACTCCTGCTGGTACGCCGCACCCCATTGGCTGCGAGGGAATGGGCGGGGCCGGCGGGGAGGTGGAGCGGAGGAAGTGAGGCTGACTTGGCCGTCTGCTTGCAGGACTGCACCGCAGGGGGTCAGTCTTAAAGGGAAGCGCTTCCAGGTGTTCTGAGCCTGAACGTGCGACTCCGTACTGTCTGTCTTCTGTTTTTAACGGGGACAGGAATAGGACAGACTCCAGCACAGATTAAAGGCGATGTGTAGTTTTGTATGTGTAAACTCTGAACGTTTCCAACGAGAGAGAATGATACTGAATACTGGGAGCTACAGGAAAGCCTGGTGGAAGTGTCTTTATGCAGAGTTTGCCCGTGAATGACTTCCCCTTTCCACCACCGAATTCAGCCGCTACGGACAAAATACGGCCTTGACTAGGACTGAGTGATTTCTGGCTGCTATTATTTAATGACACTGTAGTGTGTGGGGTTCAAAACAACTGTTCCCACAGATGCATTGTTAACTTAAACTATTGCGTTTCTGCAAGTCCAGGGAGGAGAGAAACTCCAACAGGGCAAATAAGGGGAAAGACAAGAAAAGGGGTGTGAGGGGCTGGGGATTTAGCTCAGCGGCCAAAAGCGCCTGCCTGGCAAGCACAAGGTCGTAAGTTCGGTTCCCGGTACCGAAGAAAAAGGAAAAAAAAAAAAAAAAAGGCTGGGGATTTAGCTCAGCGGCAAAAGCGCCTGCCTGGCAAGCGCAAGGTCGTGAGTTCGGTTCCCGGTACCGGAGAAAAACCAAAAAAAAAGGGGTATGAAATGCACCCACCAAATTATTATGTACTGAAATAAAACTAACAAAATGCCAAGTACAGAGTCCCAAATGTCAAATAGTTAATTTTAGAGTTTTGTTTTGGGGTTTTTGTTTTACTTTTTTTTTGAGACAAGATCTCCCTATGCAGTTCAGGCTAGCCTTAAATTCACTACGTAGCTGAGGCTGGCCTTGAATTCGCAGTGATCCTCCCGCTTCAGCCTACCACCTGCTGGGATTGCAGACATGCGCCATCATGCCCAGCAATTTTAGAGATTTAACAGAATTAAAATTTTATCAGAATAGAGAGGCCAAAAATCTAATTTGCATTTTAAAATGTTTTCACCCTGGAAATTTTAAATGTGTTACTGCATGCTTTTAAATGAGGCTGGCCTGGTACTGCCTAAGTAACTTATCCAGGATTACTGAGCTGCTCGACTGTTCCTAATCAAATAAGGGCACCCTTAAGTATTTGTGCTCTTCCAACTGCGTTCAGGTCTAGCTCTAGCTTCCCTCTTTCCTGTTAACCACTTAAATTGATTACTGGATTACTACACAGACTTTTTAACAAAGATTTTAGAATAAAATATGGCCACTATTATTAAGAGTTATACAAGTATTTGTGATTGATTTTGTTAAGTAAGTTAATTCAAGTAAAAGCAGCTGAGATGTCAGACACTTAACAGTGTAACCTTGCGTTTTACATCAAATATATCAGTACCATAATGGATTTCTACATGTCTGTGTTCAGCTTACCCAGGCGTTTTATATTTACTGTGGCATAATCTAATATTAAAATAGACTAATGGGGTGGGGACTGAACCTAGGATTTTGTTTATGAACAAAAACTCTGGCCCTGAGCTACCCCTCCCAACACTGGGCTTTTAATTTTAATGCCAGAGAGTTTTAAGACTGGTATTATTTTTCCCTAAATGAAGAGCTATAATTCCTACTCCAGTCTCCCCTTCCACGTACCTTTGCAGGGCCATAGAGGAACTCATCAAAGCCTCTGAAGTACCATGAGCACCTCAGATTGGCCCAATCCCTATATTTGAGAGTAAGTAACTTGTTCCCGATTACAGAAAAAATTAATAGAGAGCTAAGACTATAACCTAAGTACTACTGGGCATATTTCTCTCTACATAAATATTCTTACTACCTAGCCCATTATTAAATGTATTGGGGATTTCCAACACTGTCGTGTCATTAATGCTATTTCAAGGCCTTTAAATGAACACAGTTTGCCAATGGTCTCCAAATGGTTTTGACCATATATCCTTTCGGAGGCTAGGAGCCCAAAGTCACCACCATTGTCACTACCACTGCCAAGGTTACAGATCCAGAAATCCAGGGCACATCCTAATACAGGATGGAACTGGAGCCGTCCTTAGAGAAACCAAAACGTGAGTTCTTGCCTCTTCAGTCAGTCTCCCTTCTGTCTCCCACAAATAACAAGACAGGGCTGCCCTTTCAGGAGTTCAGTGTCGTTGCCACCTTTGACCATGCTTAAACGTCCATATAACCAAGAAATAACAACATCAAGCATCTGCCGAGTAGAATGCAAATATTCCACTTAAAGTGAAGATAATCTTATCCTCCTTCCCCAAAAAAGAGAAGTATAAAAGCATATCCATACCTAAAAGATACTAATTCTACTTCTAGTTCAGCCAACATCCTACCTGTGTATGTTGTTACTAACAGTATAAAATTAACAACCACCAACAAAATTGGCAGACCAATGCTGCCAGAGTGACCAAAAAGAAGGAAGAGTCCCAAACAACAACCAGCACTCCATGTAAAATAAGAATGAAATAAAGGAGAATAATCGGTTGTAAATACACATCTAGTGTTTCAGGTTAAATGTGTATAGCAAATTGAGATGAGGTCATACGGGAGTAGTGTGGACCCTAAATTCAGTGACTTGACTTGGATCTGAGCAAAGGCAGTGAAGATATGCCGCTGTCCCTACCAGGTGAAAGGCTGTGCTTGAGCTATTTCTCAAGTGATTTAAAGAAAATGCATTTTTAGATCAACGTTTACAATAGCGGAGGTGTGTACAGTATTTCTTTGCTCCAGTAAAGAGGTCTCATCTAGAACAGCAGCTGCAGTCAAAACTGAGTGGACAGCAATACATAGGACCTACCTTCCTTTGCAAGCTAAACAGGCACGTTAAATAAGAACATTATAGAAATCGCAGCCGGGCGTGGTGGCGCACACCTGTAATCCCAGCACCCAGCAGGCTGAGGCAGGAGGATCGTTGTGAGTTCGAGACCAGCCTGGGATACAAAGTGAGCTCAAGGCCGGCCTGAACTGTATAGTGAGACCCTGTCTCAAAAAGACCAAAAAAAAAAAGAAATCTCTATCGCTGCATTTTTCAAGTCTTTCATGTTGGCATTGCCTGTAACTCCCCCAGGATGTGGTATTGCTTTGGGCTTGCTTTTCAGTAGAAAAGAGTAGTTACCAGGCTCCTCGTCAGAATTTCCTACTGTAACATCTCATTCCACAGATCAAGAGCCATATTATTCCAATTGCCAAGTATCTCAGTTCCAACTGTGCATTCAGAAAGCAGGACGTGGTGGCGCATACCTACAATTTCAGCCCTCTGGGAGGCCACGGCAGGAGAACTGCTAGTCCAGCCTGGGCAGCTTAGACCCTTCTGAAAGAGAGAGGGAGAGAGGGAGAGAAAGAGAGAGAGCTGAGAAAAAGAAGCTGGTGATGTGGATCGGTGATAGAGTACCCTGGGTTTAATCTCCGTATTTAACATACACACACACACAGTAGGGAAGTTAACTGTAGTTCCAGCACTTAGGAGGCTGAGGCAGGAGGATCACTTGATCCCAGGAGTTTGAGGCCAGCCTGGGCAATATAACAACACCTTGTCTCAAAAACAAAACAAAACAAACAAACAAACAGAAGACCGGAGAAGTACTGTAATATACTAGAGCTCAAACTAGGTTTGCGACATGACTGCATAACCAAGCTGTCTGACCAATAGACTCCAGTGACTTCTTGGACCCCCCAGTGGTTAAGTAAGGGCTAGAAATTTCTAAAAAAGAAATTTGCCTTTCCCTACTGCCCTTCTGGTCCCTTTTTGAAAGAAAGGCAGGGAGAAGAAGAATTATAAGATACACGTGGGCCACAGACCTTCCTGAGGACTGTGAAGTGACTTCCATCCAGACAGCAGATAAAAGGCCGTGATGACTCACGCAGCTATCTGCTTAGAATTTTTCTGATTGTATAGATCAGAAATTACTTACGTGCCTATAGCATCCGTTGTATTCATAGCCACCACCAAAGAACTGTGTTACTCGACACTGTTTGCTGCCCTTAACCCTGTCGCCCATGTTGCTAAGTGCATTGACCTGGTCTTGGTTTTATACCCGCATCTGGTCTCTGTTGGTCTGGACTAAAATCAAAGAATACATTGCAAAGTGAAACCTTGCCCCTCATCCCTGCCTGTAGATGGGAGTCATAGTGAGCTTTTGAAAGATGCTGGCATGCCAGGTGTGGTGACACATGCCTGAAATCCCAGCACTCAATTCCAGCACTCGAAAGGCTGAGGCAGGAGGATCACTGTGAGTTCAAGGTCAGCCTGGCCTCCATAGTGAGTTCAAGGCCACCCCGAACTACATACCAGACTCTGTTTCAAAAAACAAAAAACAAAACAAAAAAAAGGTACCAGCAATTCCTTCTCTAGTGCTTGCTTCAGTGCCTGTGTCTTATTAAGAAGAATATCTTTAGGTACAATTTTCCCCAACCTTTTGGGTTCCCTCCTTAAAATTACACCAGGGAAAGATAGAGAGGTGGCTTAGTGGTAAAGTGCTAACCTAGCATGCTCAAGGCCATGGGCTTGATCCCTGACGCCACACACACACACACACACACACACACGCACACACACCCCTTACCAGAGCTATTTTGGCACCTCCACCTACCAAAAGCAAGCTACTATCTCAGTCCAGTTTTCAGTGAGCCAATCTACTGCACGGGCTACATATCACATAGGAAAACTCTGGTCAGTGTTCCCGTGTCAGTCAGTTCACCTTGCCCAGTAAGTGCTGCTTCGGTTTGGTTTGGTTTTTCTTTGCCTGTCACTTCCACCATCCATTCCCACATGGATTCTCAGTCCTGGGGCAGTACACATTTGCAAAATTTTGCAATACCCTAGTCATCCATCCTTGATGGGACTATTCCCAAGAAATGCATTATGAGGCAATTGCATTATGGAATAAACATCATAGAGAGAACTTACACAGGTCTAGGTGGCCCCGCTGACTGCATGCCTAGGCTCTGTGGTGTGGCCATCATGACCTGTGCTGGGTGTCAACGATGGAAACTTTGCTCTGCACACATGGCTGTGTTTGTTATTTGGTTTATGAGCTACCTTCTCCCAGGGCAGACAAGGAACTGTTTCAGGGCTGGGAACACAGCTCAGTGGCACAGTGCCTGCCGGGCAAGTGTAAGGTCCTGAGTTCGATTTCTAGTACAAAAAAAGAAAAAAGAAAACAAAAGAAAAGAAAGAAAGAAACTGCTTCAGAGGTTTCTAAATCGCTGATACACCACCGGTGTTTCAAACAATGGAAGGCTAGTCTCCTCTAACATTGGAAAAAGGAGTGCTTTGGGTGGTAAAGAAAGCTCAAGGAAGCAGAACACGACTCTATAATAAAACAGAATAAATTGTTAGCCAGGTGTGGCAGCACATACCTGTCATTCCAGCACCTGGGAGGCTGAGGTAGGAGCGTCACTGGGAGTTCCAGGCCAGCCTGAAGAATACAAGTGAGTTCAAGGCCAGCCTGAACTACATAGTGAGGCCCTGTCTCAAAAACAAAACAAAACAAAAACAAAACAAAAAAACTCAATGCCTGCAACAAGTTGGAGGAATTTCAAGGACATTGTCACAAATAGTAATACTGTAGGCTCCCAGGCTCCCAACTGGTAATGTTACAAAGTAACAAAATTACAGATAGCAGAGGAATTGGGAGTGAGATGATAAGTAAGGGGTAACACAGCGGAGTTACTTTGTAGTGATGGAATGGGTTTGTATCCTGACCGGGTGAAAGTGAACTGAATCCACATTTATGATGAAATTTCATAGAGTTATACACACATCCACAAAAAGACTTGCATATAAAAACTGGTAAAATATGAATAAGGTCTATGCCTGAGTTGGTTGATATTGTACAAATGTCAGTTTCCTAGTTTTTACTTTGCTGTGCTCTAGGGATTGTTCAGTCAGTGTCCCATCACTGGGACAAAATCCCTGGCTCTGCTTTACAGAAGGAGAAGTTTATTTTGGCTCACAGTCTCCATAGGTTCAGTACATGGTAAACTGGCTCCAATGCAGAACCTGCCTGGCATAGCAGAGGAAAGCTAAGATCCCACTGCGTGGGATCAGAATGCAGAAAGAAGAAAGAAACCAGAGAGAAGACACCCTTCTGCCAGGTCACAGACCCAGTGACTGCCCCCCACAGGCAGGCCCCAACTCCAAAGAAAGACTTCTGGGGGACATTTTAGATCTAAATCATAGCATATTATCATCAAATGGAACTGGCCAAAGCATACCCAAGAACTCTGTACTATTTTTGCAACTCATTATGAGCTTTAAATGATTTGAAAACAAGTTCATTCTAAAAAGAAAAAACAGGGCCTGGGGATATAGCTCAGTGGCACAGCACCTGCCTGGCAAATGCAAGGTCATGAGTTCAATTCCCAGTACTGGAGGGAAGAAAAAAAAAGGAAAAAAATAAAATAAAATACAAATAAAAAGAGAAAACAGCAGGGCATGGGGGTGCACCTCTGTCATCCCAGCACTCAGAAGGCTGAGGCAGGAGGATGGCTGGGAGTTTGAGGTCCACCAGGGCTACAAAGTGAGTTCAAGGCCAGCCTGAACTGCATAGTAAGACTCTGTCTCAAAGAAAAAAAAAAAAAGAAGAGAGAGAGAAAGAAAAGAATCTTAGGGGGAATTAGGGATTCAAGTTTCTCAGATTCATCTGAATCCACTCAAATATCTTTGCCCTAAGTCTCATGGTCCCACCTTTTCCCAATCTTTGCCCCAAATTTTAAACAGAAGAGATTCTGTACCCTCACTGAAAGCATTGCCCTGACTGGTTCACCCACCCAGTACTTTTAGCTTCTCTATCTCTAGGCTTTATTTTCTTATCAGTTTTTTTGGGGTGTTTGTGAAGCTCTGGACTGAACCCAGGGCAGTCACACACTAGTAAGTGCTGTACCACTGGCTATAGCCCTGATAATCACCCTTATTAGATTGTTTTTAGATGGGTGTTTTGTAACCTGAAGCTGAAAGTAATCCTAACTAATTCAAAGTCTTGATTCATAATCCAGCATGTTAACATGTTACCTAACAGGTTTATTCTCTAGTGACCTCTATTCACTTCCTTTCTGAAATTATTTTACCTAAATAAAACAATGTTGCATTCATTGGAGCTCTTTATTCCAAAGGGCAGAAAAGTCAATTTAAATTAACAAAGTAAACTCTTTTCACAAAAAGAGAATATCCATTAGATTATAGAACTCAAAAAACAGAAGTTCTCCATTAACACCTATGATTTGAGAGTTCAGACATCATATCTAGGATTCAATTTTCCTTTATTCCTATTTCTGCCTCTCCCTTCCCTTGATCCCCTTATAGATGCCAAGTGGCCTCAATTCATCCTTAATGTTACAAGTTCCTGAAGAAAGGAGATTCCTCCTCTTTCCCACAATCCCAGAGTCTTGTGACACAGTGACTCTAATCGGATCACGCACATACCCTTGAGGCCAGTCCTGAGACTATAATATGCCTGTTTCTTTATTTCTTTCTTTGTTATTTTTTGTTTTTTGCTTGGTTTGGTTTGGTTGAGACAGGATTTCGCTATATAATTCAGGTTGGCCTTGAACTCATAGTGAATCTCCTGCCTCAGCCTCCCAAGTGCTAGGATTACAGGTTTGTACCGCCACACCCAGTTTAAACCTGAGTTTCACGTTCACTCTCAAACTGAGCGTGACTTCTGCTCAGCCCAAGCACTAGTCTTTGAGTGAAAGCAAGGAAACTGATGGAGACCACTACAAAGAGGCTCTCAGCAGAATTTAATATTAACCAATTGGCTTTTCATGTTTACGTGTGAGATTGCCCGAGGCCTAGGCCCCTGTCTGGAGGTGAGCAACGGACTCATAGTAAGTGAACCTCTATGAGTCACTGGTCCCGCTGAGGCCTGTATTGGCCTGTGAAGTTGGGACACCCCAGAGGACAAGATAAGGCCACAGTTGAGGGCATTTGGCTCCAACCCCAACTAACTACAAAGAGACTTATAACTACAGGCATCTCACTCCTTCAGTGAAGGTCTTCCTGGAGATAATGTAGTTCTCCTAAATTAACATAAATTATTACCTGGAAAAGTTCTTAGAGGGATTCCTAAATCCTGCCCAGATTCCTGCATTTTCTTCAGTATCCCCATCCTTTTTTTGAAAACCAAATAAATACAGGCTGCCCAGGGAAGTTCTCAGTCTTAACCCAGAGAATCTCAAATTCTGTGATAAGAGTTGGGGCCTCCTGAAGCCCCAAAATCATCACAGTCATCTTATTTATTTAAGCCTTCACTGTCCACTCATTTGGGAGGTTGAGGCCCTGATCAGCCTGCAATAACTAAGGGTTATCAACCCGATAGATACTCATACCAAAGAAAACAAAATAAGAGCTCAAGAAACAACTGTCTCAGAGATGATTACATTGGAACACATCATTCAGTATCTAAACAGAGATTGTTAGGATCCTGCAGCAACTCTGGAGGGAAGCATCTGACATTTTATCTGGTGCCAACATTTGCACAGCAGCAGCATGGTTTGCTAGACTTAGGAGATTGGCTCTTGCTCAGCACTGATGGTCACTAACTCCATGACCATCCACAAATCACACAGCTTCCTGGGGTCCAGTCACCTCTTGGGTAAGACAAGAAGTTAATGCCACTCATACAGTTAGTGGGCTCTTGGTTCACTCTTGTACCTATTCTAAACAGTTCAGTTTGAGAAGTCCTAAACTGATGCTTAGGAAGTCATAGCAAACATTTATATACATTATCAAACTTGTCAAAGATGGATTATAAATCAGGCAAGGTGGTGCACACCTGTCATCATAGCACTCAGGAAGCTGAGGCAGGAGGATCGCCAGTCTGAGTTACACAGTGAGTTCAAGGCCGGCCTGAACTACATAGTGAGACCCTGTCTCAAAAAACAAAAACAAAACAAAATTATGTTTGGGGACATAATAATCTCTGACCTGGGTGCCAGACTGGTGCTTGGAGGTGCTCTGCTCAGACGTCGGGACAATATAACCTTGGGCTATTCATATGCTTGCACTAGCACATTTGTGCCAGCACCTCAGGTCCCAACCAGCAAAAAGCACATTTTTTCTTTTTCCCCCAGGTGAGAAGTGAAGGAATACAACAAAATTCTTATGAAATCTTAGATTTGTTTTGTTTGATGCTTTTCCCAGGAAGACTGCACAGAGGAATGCCCCCCTTCCCATTGGCATGGGACTGCACACTCACATCTAAAGCTCCAGCCATGCTTGCAGTCATCACCGGCCCTTTGTGAGCATTCTCAGGCATTTCCTCACAGAGAAAGATGTGACATGTACTGCATCCACTTGGAATTCCCAGTGTTGCTGGGCAGGCTGGTGCTGTCATCCCAGCACTCAGGAGGCTGAGGCAGGAGGATCACCTCAAGTTTGTTACCAACATGGGCTCCATGGTAAGTTCCAGGTCAGCCTGAACTGCATACCAACACCATGTCTGAACAAAGAATTCCTAACGCCAAAGTGCACTAACTTTCTCTTCATCTCTGTTACCTCTCTATGTCAGCATCTACCACACATGCAACATCTCCCAGGTATATTCAAACACAAGCCAAAGTCTTGCTTACTTTCCCACCCTGGTGTGTCCTCCAGATTTCTCTGCTCTTTGGCAGTAGGTGACATGAACAAGCAGACCTCCGCTCACTGCCAGGCCCCTGACAACTGCCCCCTCTCCAGGGCATCTTATCAAGCAGGAGGCCACAGTGGGGGCTGCCACCCTCTCCCTTCGGCTCCAAGGGAAGACCATCATTTCTAGAGATACTGAATCCTTCAGGGCAGAGATGGCACTCATAGGATGTTTTAGAAGACTTTCTCTCATGTAACTTACCGGGATTTCCTTCTGAAACATGCTTCTGGAACACATATTTCTCCCAGACCCACCACACCGCTGGCCAAGCCCTGGCCCTGGTCTTTGCTCGGTCCTGGTGTCCGCCCTGGGAGACTGCTGCACGCATCCCGCACCCCAGCTCACGGCAGGCGGACGTCCTCCCTTACACCGTGGAGCATCATTGTAAGGCTGCACTTTGGGCTTATTTAAGGGGGCGGTTTGGTCCAAGTTGTCACTGGATATTCTGGTCATTAGTGCACTGAATATCACCAGATGGGAAAGTCTAGCTATAGTTGGCTCACACTCACATTCAGACCAGATTCAGCATATGATCCTCTCTGTCTGTCTCTGTCCCTCAATGTCCCTGTTCCTGTCTTTGCCCCTCCCCCTTACCCTCCCCCTCCCTCCCCCTTTCCCTCTTCCTCTCCTTCCTGCCCTCTTTTTCTGTCTTGTCAGTCTGTCTGTCTTACTCCAAGTCTGCCTTTAGCTTTCTCCCAGGGAAGGAGGAAGCAGCAGCCGCTTTATGCCCCTCCAGCTGGGCTGGAATGAGGAAGAGGCTCCAAAATGACTCGGCTTACCTTGGAGGAAGCAGGGATAGTTTATCTCCCTTTTATGGATACCACATGGCTCCTGTCCCGGACGCCAATAAACACAAATTGATGCTGATAGAAAGGGTAAGCAGGTCTCTGAAGACGGCAGTGATGGCCTACACAGGGCTGACTGGGACGAGGGCTGGGGCCACACACCCGGCTGTCCATTGACCACTCTGTAGCCTTCAAGAAACTCAATTACTTCTTTTGAGGCCTTGCCAGCAGGTCCCACGCATGCCTTCCTTCTTTCCAATGTGACTTCTTTCTGCTTTCCATATTTTAACTCCTTCTCTCCTCTTGAAGATTTCTTATCCTTGATTCTTAGGATTAGGTGCTCCTACAAAAGAAGTCTATTGGTTGGATATAAGATCGCTATAATTATTGCAATAAAATTTAAAGCTCTGCTGGGTTTTGTGGTGCATGCCTGTGATCCCAGTACTCTGGAGGCTGAGGCAAGGGATTGTCAGGAGTTTGAAGCCAGCCTGGGCTACATAATGAGTTCAAGACCAGCCTGAACTACATTGTGAGACCCTGTCTCAAAAAAAAAAAAAAGATTTAAAGCTGAGATTGTGTTCATAGTTGCTTATTAATAATTTGATGATGTTTATAATTTCTTATAATAATTTATTTACAACTATATTTTTAACAGAATGTATCCCAAAATTTATTTTTCACTAAATATATGTCTTACAATATTCACTTCTGGCGTTCTTGGTAAGTAGCAACCGTTCTGTCCCTTGCCTGGCTTGATGCTGATTTGCCATAAATGTGATGGGAGTAAGGACCTAAGATGCAGCCTACTGCAGACAGAATTTTTCTTTATCCACCATTTAAAGAAGAAAACCTGGAAATGTTGCTCTAAGATTTAACTCCTTCTCTAAGCAGTCAGGGAACCCACATAAAAGAGTTAAGCTCTAAATTCCTATTTAACCTCCACTCTCTACCCAGATGGACGATACAGCAACAGCTGGAACTAGGTATCATATGTGGAGCAGTACACGCACATCTGTACTATCTCTATGTACTGAGAGGGATTAAAAGCAATGATATCGCTCCTGCATACGCACAGCACCCAGAGCTTGGTTTCTAAATACCATTCCTGAACAAGAGCAGCCAGGACTGCTTAGGAAAATGACAAATTCTAGGCCTATGGCAGAGGAAAGGAAAGATGGCCAGGAGGACCTATTGCAGCAGAAAGTCAGAGTGCTGAGAGGACAAATGGATGACAACATCTCAGATGAACCCGGAAGCTAGCCTGAAAACTTGCGATGGCCAAAGATGGAAGATTTGAGGAACAAAAAAATGTTTGGGGCTGGGTGTAGTGGCGCACACCTGTAATCCTAGCACTCGGGAGGCTGAGGTAGGAGGATTGACGAAGAGTTCAAAGCCAGCCTGGGCTACACAGTGAGTTCAAGGCCAGCCTGAACTGCATAGCGAGACCCTGTCTCAAAAAGACAAAAAAAAAAAAAAAAAAAAAACAATGTTTTGTGGGACTATAATCCACCTATAATGTTAACATGCATGAGTTCATACTGATATACATAAAAGATTTAAGAAATAAATGGGAACAAGAGACAAATATTCCTTACAGAATAACTGGAAATAATACATCTAGGCACTCCCTTCTCTAGGAGGTCAAACTTAGCTTCTGCTTCTCACCTCTTGAAAGTGGGCTAGACTCCCACCAGGTCCACACAGTAACCTCAAGTGTAGGACCCTCTCCAGCACTGCTGCAGCCGTGCGATGGGCATGGTGAATACCCCAGGGCAGTCGTGTGGCCGCTGTGTGCCCCCATGGGATGCAATGAGGACAATTACCCACGAGCACTCTCATCATGAGAAAAACGTCAAAAAAACGCAGACTGGGAGGCAGTCTATAGGATATACGACCGGGTTCAAGATTGTCAAATTCACCCAAAAGAATTAAAATCATTGTATTACAGTACACATGCAACCGATGTTAACAGCAGCATGGTGCATAATAGCCAAACCTTGGAAGCAGCCTGGATGACCATCAACAGGTGAACAGATAAATAAAACGTGCTATTTATTTGGTTGTTCTTTTTTTTTTTTTTTTTTTAATCAAACACCCAAGGAAAGGAGCCAAACACGACATTAAGTATAATATAACATCCTGGATTAGATCTTAGGACCAAAGTGAACGTGAAGGGAAGAACTGATGAAATACAAATAGGTCTGGCATTTCATTAATACTATTACACCAGTGCTAATCTCTTAGTTTTGACAAACGTACAAGTAATGTAAGACGTTCACAGGGATGACTTGGTGAGGGGCATATGAGAATTATGCACTATCTTTGAAATTATTCTGTAAATCTAAAATTATTCCAAGATTTAAAATTATTTAAAATATACTTTCTAAAGCTTTTATTTTATCAGTAATTTTAAGCATCCATAATGATCACATCCATCACAGGGAATTTGTACTTGAACATGATTATCTTGCTTCTTCTTTTTCCCCATTCCCCTCTCCCCCACTTCAGCCCCTCTTCCCCTCCTTATTTATAAAAGCTTTGTTTCCATTTTTCCTTTTTTCTCATTTCTTCCTTGTCCCTTCCTTCCTTCCTTCCCCTACCCTCCTCCCTTGTTCCCCTTCACATTTGAACATTTTCTTCCCATTTCCCAATATCTATGAAATATTTTCATTCTTATTTATTCTTTCCTTGGGTGTTTGATAGTTCCTCCATCTTCTTTCAGTTTCTCACAGCAGAGAAAGAATGCGGTATCTACACATGTGTGTACAACTTATTTCAGGTAGGAGTGTGGGCTCAAGGTGCATTTATTTACCTAGAAATGTCTCAGGCTTATCTTTCTTCATGGCTGAATAGTACTCTATTATATACCACATCTTTATTCATTCATTTGTTGATGGGCATCTGGGTTGTTTCTAAGATTTAGCTATTACAAGCTGTGCTGCTATAAACATGGGTGTGCATATATTCCTGTGGGATGATGCTTTTAATTCTTTTGGGAAGATACCAAGGAGAATAACTGGGTCAAATAGAACCTCTACTCCTAACTTTTTAAGGAATCTCCACACTGATTTCCACAGTGGTTGCACCAGTATAGTCTCCCACCAAATGTGGAGAAATGTTACTTTGTCCCCACAGCCCCACCAGCATTTGTTATTGGTTCATTTCTTGATCATAACCATTCTTTCTGAAGTAAGATGAAATCTCCGTGTTGTTTCAATTTGCATCTCTTGAATAACCAGTGGTGTGGAACATTTTTCATATATTCATTTGCCATTTCCACTTCTTCATCTGAGAAGTTTCTGTTCACCTCAGATGCTCATTTCTGGATTGGGATGCTCATTTCTTTAAATTTAGGGGGTCTAGCTGGGTGTGGTGGTACATCCCTGTAATCCCAGCACTTGGGAGGCTGAGGAAGGAGGACCGTTGTGAGTTTGAGACCAGCCTGGCTACAAAGTGAGCTCAAGGCCAGCCTGAACTGCATAGGAAGACCTTGTCTCAAAAAACCAAAAAAGTGTCCCTGGTGGTCTAGTGGCTAGGATTTGGCACTTTCAAAAAGCAAAAAAAAAAAAAAAAAATGGGGTCCCAGTGCACTGGGAGGCTGGAGAAAAAAAGCTACAAAAAAAGGCTTTCGACCTAGATGGCTCACTTGAGATGTTAGTAAGAATTGCCTCCTCAGTATTCTATAACTGTGATGAGGAGGAGGCCAAGGAGAGAAAACAAAGAGACTGAGAAAAAGCAGCTGTTTTTGCTGCAGCACTAAGAAAAAGCGACCCTAAGTCTGATTCTCAGGGCTCCAAGAAGAACTCGATGACTGCATTTATCTGCTACCACTGTTAAAAGCCAGGCCACCTCAAGAGACACTGCCCTAAGAGGCCCCATGGGCCATGCCCTGGATGCAAAGGAGACCACTGGAGATCGGTCTGCCCTCTGAAGTGGAGGCCCCAGAGCTCAGACCCATTCTACCAGTTAGTCTCATAGGAATGAGGGGGCCCAGGGCATACTCTGCCTTCTCTCTCTGGCCAGACTGTCACCTCCATAGAGGAGCTCTGGGTAATCATGACTATAGAGGAAAAAGGAAACAGCCTGTTGTTAGACACAGGTGCAAGTCTCTCGGTCCTTCTTTTCAAGCCTGGCCTTCCTTCCAGCCATCATACCTCAGTGAAAGGAGTCACTGGTGAGGAGGTAATACACTATTTTTCACAACCATTAGGCTGTAACTACTTGTTAGATCTTTCTTGCGTATCTCTGTCTTCCTGAGAAACCACTTTGAAGATACTACCATGTATTACAGCAGCCACTGATATTTTCCTACTAAGCTGTCCATAACTCTGTAATGTTTGTATTGTTCCTATGCTATTTTGTAAAGGGATGTATGTTTATTACTATGTGTTTTCTACAACAACCGTTGAGAATAGTCAACGAATATTCAATTGGTCACTCATGTATAGCTCTATTTATTTTCTTTAGAAAACACTTTGAAGATACCAAAGTATAGTACAACAACCATTGATAATAACCTACCACTTTTGTCTGTAACTCACTATTATTTGTCTATTTGTTTTCCTGAGAAACTATCTTGTAGATAACAATATGTAAAACAATAACCATTGATAAGTTCCTACCACTTTGTCTGTAATTCAGTAATTGTTATTGGTTCATTTCTTGATCATAACCATGCTTTCTGAAGTAAGATGAAATCTCAGTGTTGTCTGAGATTTGCATCTCTTGAATAACCAGTGGCGTGGAACTGGTTATTACTATGTTATAGGAACTGCCTATTACTATGTTATCCTTCTTTTACTCTTTAAAATAAAAAAGCCAAATTAATTAATTAATTAATTAATTAATGTAGGGGTTTTTTTTTTGAGTTCTTTATATATTCTAGATAATAGTCCTTTGAAGAATAGATGGAAAATTTTTTTCCAATACTGTGGGTTGTCTCTTCACTCTGTTGGTGGTTTCTCTTGTTGTGCAAAAGCTTTTTAACAAGATGAGATTATAGTTGGTGATTCTTTGTGATAGTTCCTGTGTGATCCAGGTTTTGTTCACAAAGTCTTGATCTACACCAATGTCTTTCAGAGTTCTACCTATTCTCTCTTCCAGCAGATTTAGTGTTTCTGCTTTAATATTGTGATCTTTGATCCATTTTTATTTTAGTTTAGTGCATGGTGATAGGAATGGATCTAGTATAAATCTTTCACATGTACAAAGCCAGTTTTTCCAGCATCACTTATTAAAGAGACCATCTTTCTTCCAGTAAAGGTGTTTGGCCCCAGTGTCAAAGATAAGGTGGCTGAGAGTGTTTGGAGTTATTTCTGCATCTTCTAATCTATTTCATTAATG